ACTGTAGCTTTTCGTATTGAAAGGAGCTGCCATCTAACGTTGCCTAAAAACAACGTCTCATTGAATTTTTTTGCAGTGGATGGTGTCCTTGGTTATTTAGTGTTGCCACTTTCCTCTAGTTGGCGTTATTTCCAGTCAGTTCTATTTTGTGTTTTCTTCATATGTTGATGCTAAGCCGAGTTATTTCCTACATTTCATATGGAAATGGGCGTTAGCCGCATTTTACAAATATTATAGACTCTGAATGAAAATTTCCTCCTCCGCTTGGACTAGCAACTGGGGTCCATTAGCTTGTAAAAGACCTCCAAAACGAGAAATGTAGAAATCGGTATAGGGTCTCTAGAAGCTATTTTAATCTATAGAATATCTCTAAAGTCGAATATGCATGTCCGTTAATTTGTCTGTCCATGTATTATTCCATCATTTCCATCAACTTAACCCTATTGAAGTTGATGGAAACTGGTACAGATTTATATATTTTCGTCCAATTTCAGGCACATCGTTCTTCTATAATTTTACACCAAAGACGCCGTGTCTGCTCGATTAACGTGACATATTGTATAGATTTAAGAATGACGTTGGTATGCATTGATTAAAATCCGTTTATATATTTATATACTATATACTTATGCACAATATGGTACGATAGGGTTGATGGTTAAACACGTATTATCTTTTTTCTCTTTTCGTCGGCCTTACTTAGCTAACTTGTGACAGAACTTTCGTTCCATAAACCGAGTTTAAAAAAATTTCTAGGTACGTCGTCCTTTGGCGCAGTTTTTCCAATTGATCTTTCCATCTAATTCGTGGCCTTCCCCTTCTGCATGGGCTATCAGCTGGTTCGCTTTTATATGGCTTGTGGGCTGGGGCATTTTCATCCATTCTCACAACATGACCTAATCAACGTAGGCGTTGCAGCTCGATACGTCTGACAATACCGATGTCCGAGAATAGCTGGTACAACTTATGGTTCATTCGACGTCGATATTCACCGTCAACGCAGATCGGTCCATAGATCTTTCGGAGAAATTTTCTCTCAAACACTCCAAGAGCTGCTGCTTGCGTAAGTACCAATGATTCCGATCCAAATAACAGCACGGGTAGTATTAGTGTCTTGTGACTTTGGTCTGGCGGGAGGTGGCCTTGTTTCTAAACTGCTTACTTAGATCATAGTAGCATCTGTTGGCCAACATTACCCTACACTATCCTACTCCGAATGTCAAAACTGATGTCATTAGTTTTAGTTATGGCAGTACCAAAGTATATAAAATCTTTGACTACCTCGAAGCTCGAAGTTACACAGTTGGTCCGAGTCTACTGGATGTCTTGCGCGTTGATACCATCAACTTGGTCTTTTCGCCGTTTACTGCCAGACCCACTTTGGCATGTGTTGTTTGGTGTACAGAGTACCATTTCGTTTCACCTTTGCCTCCCGTATGACCCTTTCCAGCAGTATGTTAAAAAGGTCACCCGACAAACTGTCGCCTTGTCTGAATTCTCGTTCGGTATTAAAGGGCTCCGAGATCCTGCATAGCCGTATTGTTTCTGTTCTACTGACCCTTATATGTAACCAAAGTGGTGAAGAGTATCACATAGTCGACCCGTACTGGTGTCATATTTTAGATTAGGTTGAAAGCAACCAACAAATTATAGTAAAATTCGTGATATAACGAAATTAATTTCCGTATATCAGTTGAAAAAGGTACTTTTTATTTCGAATAACGTCAAGTAAGGAGTGGGCGTCTTAAGGGATATTTATTATCCTCTATAATTCGGAAATATCTAAGACTGATATAATTTTTATGACGAATATTTATAGTTTTATGGAAGATTTTATTTTATGTATTATCTCGCCTGTCCCAATTTTTGTTATAACAGAAATAATACTTTTATGTCAGACTTTATTGCGTGTTCACATAATTATATCCTAGATTTTAGTGGAACATGTTTTATGGAAAATAAATGCTGAAAGTTTTTCGTCAATTGCCAACTGGACAAAAAATATAATACCAAATGAAACAGCTAATTGTTTCTAATAGATGGCAAACTTTTAAATTTATTTTTATTTTCACATGATATTTTACATTAAAAAATAACCATTTTTTATACTTTTTACTATTAAAATTTTTATTCAAATTCAGTAACATAAATGCTAAATATATAATGTCCAATTTTATTATTATTTATTTTCTCTTCCATTTATTTTTAAAGTGCTGAATATTTATCATAATGCTCTCGTAAGCAATTATAACGAAAATCGTTATGCAGTCTTTCGAAATCACATAATGACGAATTGGAAAAATCAAACATTTAGCGAAGACAAAAATCTCTAAGAATTTATGCGCCATCGCCATCTAGTATTGCTATGGAAAAAGCGACATCACACGACCTTAAGTGCAACTAAATGGAAGTCTTACTTATTACAGCTTACAACCTTTTATAGCGATATGCGTTACCGGCATCTAGTTATGTTTCGGATATTCAGTGGCACCATCTAGTGCCCGCTGTTAAAAGGTCATGATGGTTGGTTGAATCGCTAAGCGTATAACAGTTTATGACACTTTCACAATTCACCGTTAACTGTTATACTATTAATTTTCATCAAAATTTTTTCCAAAATTAATGATTTTTGATTATTTTTTTGATTTTGTTGATTATTTCCGCGAAAATTGGATGGAAAAACAAACATGTTTTTTGTTCACGGATAAAAAAAATTTCCGCGAAAATTTTTATTATCCGTAATTATAGTCAAGACACCAACCTTATCCAACATTTTCGATAAAATTTCGATTGAATTTTATAGGAAAAAAATGAAAAAATCGTCGGTTACGGTATCTATATCGACGATATTATCGTATTTTTTGAGTGAAATTCTCTCTCTCTCTCTGAAATGCAGTGGAATTTTTGGGAAAGCTACTAGCCAGCCCTTCAGAGTGTAATAAAAATTATTCTCTCACTTGAGGAATGACTGAAACAGAAAAAACATATTCTTGATTTTTTTCATTTTTGAAATTATTATGTCCGTCCTTCCTTGTTAAGCTAAATTTTTTGTTGATGCCCCTGGGAAATTCAGAGTTGTTACGATATCATAACAACACAACATTACAAAATATGTGACACCATGGACGATATTGGGAAGCACCGAGTCTTATTTTCGAAGTAGATTCACTAGGGACTTCATATAAAATATATTTTTAATATTTTTGTAGCAATACCTAGGACCCTACTTAGGACCCTAATTATAATATAGAAATTTAATATATATAATTACAGTCGAAATCGACGACATTTATAGCAACATATCGGTTATAACGGCTGTATTCAAAATCCCAAGAAAGGTTTTGCCGTTATCTTTGATATGGTGTATAACGACAGGTCCTTTGGCCGTCGTTATAAGCGAATTCAACTGCATAGCAAAACAGTCACTCTTTATATTATAGGATGATTTTATGATACAAATAAACAATTGCAGTCGTTTTATATCCTATAAATAGTTATCAAATATTGTGAATTAACAACAATTGGACTATGACAGATTAAATGTAGCTATTATTTCAAATGCTATAAAATGGGATTTGTCGTTTTAGATTATAACGAATTAATCCTTTTGTATTGTTTACAAATAAAAGGAGATGCCATAAATCCCCAATTTGTTATTGTGAATAGTTGTAGTGCACCCACACGTTTGGTTTATAGCAGAGAGCTTTTAGTCATAGATGTAACTGTACATGGTTTATCGTTGTAGATAATAATGAAGTGAGCCCTCTTATATCCTTTTTGTCAAAATAGTATGTCCTTATTGTGGGAATGGTTATTTTAGTTATATATTAAAAGAGGAATTTTTATTATCTAAAATTTCCTATAATGAGAAGGATATAAATCAGCATATTTTATAGCAGATATTCCTATAATATAAATTATTTTAATAAGAAATCACAAAAGCTATGAAAGTAAAAGTAGTAGTAAAGTAGTAAAAGAAGTTTGACCTGGTCGAACTTTTTATACCCTCCACACCAGTAATTATTCGGAACATGTATATATGGCGGGAAATACCGTGGTACATAAAAAAATAACTACAACCATTTATATGTGTCCTAATGTCCTAAGTTATATGAAAAAGGTCCAATATTGATATTTTTCGGTAGGGAGATGTATTAACGAATTTGAACCAAAAACACTAAATTACAACCAATACGGATGTAAAATATATTCCAACTCCCCAAAATACCGAATATTTAAGGGTAGCGACATATTAGGCCTATTCTAGAAAATATACTAATATTGATAATTTTTGGGTAGGAAGATATGAGAATCCAAAATACCGAATATTTTGGAGTACCATTATATGAGGGATATACCAAAACGTGGACCGATATTTCTAATTTTTAATACAAAACATTCTCCCAGGGCTATCTACAATGAATACGCTCGGTTGAAAGAGTACTTGTGAATCGTGCTTTATTTGTAGAAGTAATGCATATACTTTGACGGCAAACACCTAGAGAGTTTTAAATATCAGGTCGTAGTCCTCAAGAAAAAATCTAGAGTAATTATGTTGACTGCGATCAAATTGGGAGATGGGAAAATTCAGAAGGTGTTGGATGAATTCAACCTCATAATTATAATTTTGAAAATTATTCCTTGCATGAGGCTTTTATTAATGTTAAATCAGACCAAAGGATCCCGAGTATCTGATCTATCTTCTTTTATTTAAGGATTTTCCTTTTTTAAATACCTGCTCAGTCTAACTATTATAAATCTTACATCTGTTACCTTAGGAGTAACTGTTCTGTCACAAAATATAAAATCGATGGGCATGTGACATATTTTTAAAGTCTGAAAAGATAAGAAATTTCTCAAATCGTTGATTTAAAAAATGTATTTATTGCATTGCTTATACTTTTGCTACTTAACACTAACTAACATAGCACCATAAATATTCCACATTCACTTTTATTTCTAAAAGAAAAAAAAAAACAAATCCCAATCTTCCACAGCTATTACAATCCAGCTACCTTTAACATCTCCTCAACGCTGACAATTTTCTCCCTTGGTTTACCAATTGCCTGGCCACGTTTTGTCTCTTCAGCATCAATCCGTTCCCATGCCTGCCAGTTAACATAACGTTTGTCCTTCAACAAATCCATTAAACCAGGTTTACTATCCTCCGTGGAGATTTTCTTTGCCACCACATCATCACATATAGTTTTAGCCACAGAAAAGGCAACATTCATTGTGGTAAGTATAACACCCGTGGGTCCAGTGGCTAACCAACCAGCAGTATAAAGACCAGGATCTACGGAGGTTGCATCGTTGGCATTTTTCAGCACACGTCCATTTACATTGGCCACCATACCAGCCCGTGCATCAAAACACAGTTCCTTATCGGCACACGATGATTTATAACCTATACTTCGGAGTACTAAATCGGCGGGAAGACTTTCCGTGGATGAAGTGGCCACCGCCTTATCTTGTTGCATTTCATTAATAGTAAATATTAATTCTTGTTCCTTGAGGGTTTTTGGTGATCTTAAGAAAATTGGCAGAAATTGTTTTGTACATTTTGGTGGTGTTGGTTGTTCGTTAAGACTTTTTAGCATGAGTTCTGTTAAACGTTTACGTGGTCGGGCTAATTTCTCAATGGCTTCCGATACACCATTAAAGTCGTCAGGACGCCAATGTGTGCTGACATTTGGTAAACGTAACATTTCTCTTAATTCTTTAATGGTGAATGCTACCTGTAGAGGTCCTCGTCGTCCAACAAGATATACTTTTTCTACTTTACTTTGGGCAAGAAAGTCTAGGGCATAGGAGGTTATGTCGGTTTTCTAAAACAGAGTACAAATGACATTTTGTGGCGGGTTTAAATAGGAATTTTATATAAAAATAAAAAAGTGAGAGAAGTTAGAATGAGCTGTGAAGAATGAGCTAATATCCTAACCTCTTCTAGGGGAGGATTATTTAAAAGCATGCATTGGTATATGGGGAGCTTCGCTAATATTGTTTTTATTGGATTTCCTACTCCCCTAGAAACTCATATATTTACAGCAAAAAACAAATGGAGACGAATATAGAACAATTAGTGTAAATGTAAGATTTCCTATAAAAAAAACTATAAATAACAAATTCTGCGTTAAGAAACTCTATTGGTAACAAATTTTGTATATAGAAAAATTCTGTAGAGAAATTTCGTCGATAACAATTTTTAAGAAGTTTTCGATAACAACATTACTATTTCTTCTCGGAAGAAATTTCGCGATAATATATATTCTATAGTGGAAAGTTATCAATAATAACTTTTGTTTAGAAGTAACGGCTTTTCTATAGAGAAAATATGTCAATTACACAATTTCTACAGGGAAATTTGTGGTTAACTAAAGAAGTTGTCGATAATAACTTTTCTATAGAGAAACATTATCGATAATATCTTTTTTATGCAGAAGAGATAACGATAATCACTTTTCTATAGAGAAAAGTTATCGATAATTACGTTTCAATAGAGAAAAGCTATCGATAACAACTTTTCAATATATAAAAGTTATCGATAACGACTTTTCAATATATAAAAGTTATCGATAACAACTTTTTAATAGATAAAAGTTATCCATAACAACTTCTCAACAGAAAAAAATTTTTCGATAACGAATTATCTGTAGAGAAAAGTTATCGATAACAACTTTTCTATGGATGAAAGTTATCGATAACAAATTATACATAGAAAATAGTTCTCGATAACAACTTTGCTATAAAAAAAGCTGTCGATAACCATTTTGTGTAGAGAAGGTTATCGATAATAGCCTTACTATAGAGAAAAGTCATCGATAATAAAGTTTATAAAAAGAGAAAAGTTTATAATAACGTTTCTATAGAGAAAAGCTATCGATAACTTTTTGTATATAGATAAATGTTGCCGATAATAACTTTTCTATAGGGTAAAGTCATTGATAAGAACGTTTCTATAGAGAATTGTTGTCGATAATAGCTTTTCTATAGAGGACAGTTGTCGATAACAATTTTTCTATAGAGAAAAGTCGTCGAAAAGACTGTTTCTATAGAGTAAAGCTGTCGACAGGTTGTCGGTAATAACTTTTCTATAGAGAAAACTTATCGATAGTACGTTTCTATAGGGAAAAGTTGTCGATCAAAAATGTTCTTGTCGGTATGAACGACTCTATAGTGAACGTTATAATAGAAACCAATTTCCGTTAATATCGAATAATTGCCGACAACAAAAATTTTGCTGAATTTTTATCTCAAATGAATGATGATAATATGAAAACTAATGATTCCAACGTCTTACCTTTAATTCATCAATGGGACTCAGCAACATACGGGCAACATCTACAGCTACATTTCCCTGACCCACAATTGTCACCGATTTCCCCGACAAATCAGGATTTAAATTTTCTGCACCCGGTAAACCATTATACCAGGCAACGAAATTTCGAGCTGACAAAACATTTGGTTGTGCTTCATTTTCAATGCCCAACTGGCGATCTTGATCGGCACCATAGGTAAGTAATACTATATGATAACGTTCACGTAATTCCCGCAAACTGACATCTTGTCCCAGTGCCACATTGCCATAGAATTTGAAACGTTCATTCCCGGCCGTTTTGGTAAAGGTGTTAATTACATTTTTTACTTCAGGATGATCGGGTGCAACACCAAACCTAAAAACAAACAGAAACATACAAACATATAAAAATAAGTAAGTTATTTGTCAACTCATTGAACTTGAAAACAAATGACTAAAGTAATTACTATCGGTACTGATAAGAAGTAACAATGACAACATCATGTTTCTGAAATGTTGGACATACAAGCACATATACAATATTATGGGGAAGTTATTTGTTCGCCCTTGAGATCTTAGGGAACTATATAAATAGAGTTTTGTCTGAGTATTTTAAATTTGTAAGTTCTTTTAAAGAGATGTTCGGGAAATGCTTGGAATAAATTTAAAAACTCAAGTTGTATTATCAGTGCTGCTACTTTTTTCCGTTTTGCTCAATGGGGCTGATGCAACAATAGACTTTGCTGGCATAGGAAGTATGTAAATGTCGGTGTGTGTATTATTTCCTTAATTAAAACTCTACAACATTTCCAGACTATTTCCAGAATATATTCCATGCCATATTTGATCCAATTGGAAATGCATTTTCCGGCAGCAATAGAATATCGAACACTCCCAACGCATCCCCAAGTGGATAGCCCACTACTTTATGCTTCTCTTTAATATTCATGACTTATAAACTTACCTGACCAAACCAAATGGAACTGGCAATTTATCAATAACATCGACATTGGCATTTGGTAGCTGTTTCAAAATATGTTGTGCCGCATAGAATCCAGCTGGCCCGGCACCAACAATACACACCCTGGTCGATGGGTTTTGGGAGTAGAATCGTATGTGAGATACGTTTTTTGGGTGCAGTTGACAGTTTCGTTGTAAAATAGTTCGTAACATTGTTTTATTCTTATAAATTTTGAATTTTTTGGATCGTATACTTCTTATTTCGAAATACCAACTTTCACTTGGTAAATAAAGAACAGCTGTTGCTGTAGGAAGCTTGTTTTTGTAATAATCGATTTTAGGGCAACCTAAAGTAAAAGTGGGGCGATTTTAAAAACAGCTGTTCAACAACTTGTTGAGTTAGGTGGGTTAAAACCGACCTAACCTAAAAGAGTAGCATTGTACGATGAGTGTATTTGAGGTTATGGGGAAAATAACGTAGGAAACTCAGGATGAATATGGGGGTTTTTAAAGTTAATACTTAGATATATATTAATTTATTTATATAAAACATAAATATTGCAAATATACTATAATTTTGTATTAAAATATTGTTTAAAATAAAATAAAGATTAACAAAATAATTGAAGATGAAAGAAGGTGGATATTTACCTACATTCTAGATAGGCGGTAAACATGCAATGTTAATAAAAACAAAATAAAGACAATGGCAGACTTAATTTTATATAGAAAGACCTCATGATCTTGTCTCGAAAATCTGGCATTCTTATCTACTTTATCGTCTAGATCAGAATGTCTGTTAAAATCAAAAAATATATCGCTATAATAAAGATATAGCTTTGGAATATATTCGTCCATCTTTTGGTAGTCTTCATATAAATATATTGCCACGATGTTCGGAAATGAAAAAATTGGAAACATATGGTTGCATGAGACTACCTTGTATAGTTATGCCATGAAAGTTTACACTTCACTTAAATTTTATTCTATGTTTTACCAGTTTTGTGGTTTCAAGAACGGTTTTCGAGTAAAAAGTTGCAAAACTTGTAAAATTAGTAAGTTATTTTAGGTTCTGCAACGGAACGTATATCTTTATTAAGAAACCCATAATTCTGACTTCAAGTTATATATAAGAAGACCACACGATCTTTCATATAAGAAGACTTCTTGTTCTCATATATAAGAATATCCCATTGTCTTACATATAAAAACCTCTTGGTCTTCTATATTTTTTATAAAAACAAATATTTTCAGTTAATCAGACCGCATATTGGTCTATATAAGAAGACATAATTGGCTTATATATTACCCACACATATTCTATATAATAAGAACTTGTGAATGTCAAAGGGGATATTAAGGTTTTTTTACTTTATAAAAATATCTCTTTGATGTGTATATAATAGAAAATTAATTGTTCTATATGAGATGCAGTGAAGAGAATGTTTTATAGTATATCATGAATAATTAGGTAAACTTATTTTATTAGAATTATTCTAGATGGAAAGACATATGCTCATATTGACCTTCTATAAGAAATGGCCCGGCATGCACTTAAACCAGTCAAGACCTGTTGTGCGCTTCAGAAAGGGAACAAATTTTGAAGAAACATCTTTATATTTGTTCTTTTATACTTCTAAGAGTTATTCACTATATACATAGGAACTAATGGTCTTGTTTTATATTTATAAAGTCAACATATTTATTATTATTAAAGATTTAAAATAGTAATTCATTGATTACAATAAAGCCATCTTATTTGTATTATAAAAAGTATTTCAATTATTAAATTTTTATATTTATAATGTCAACATATTTTTTATTATTACTAAAATGTTAAATATTAATTCATTTATTACCATAAATTTATCTTATTTGTATTAAAACAAAGTATTTCAATTATTCAATTTTTAAATTCACTTATAAGAAATTATTAATACAAATTAATAAGAAAATTATAGAAATAATTAATAAGAAATTATTAACACAAAATTATGCTGAGAAATCAAACTGTTTTGTTTGTGATTTTAAATTCAACAGCTTATTTTCTAATTCGGCAATTTCGGCATTTAACATTTCCATTTCTGATGAGTTCATGGTGACACTATCCGTAGAGTTTAGATTCAAACTGAAGCGCTTGTCATTGATAGTGTGATGTAAAGAAGCAATCTCAACTCTGCAGAGAAAAGAAAATGTGTTAATTATACATGTAGAAATTTAAATACCTCATTTTACCTCACGTCCTTTAAAACCACATCCAAATTCTTTGCGTCTTCACGAAGTTTATTAAATTCAAAGTTGACATTTTCCTTTGTTTTAAATGCTTCTTGTTTTAAATTTTCATATTGAGCATTAAGCAGTTCAGTGTCTTTTTGTAATTGCTCAGTAGCTGAGACCACATCGTCATAGGGCTACATACAATAAAAAAATATTAAGACATTTAATTTGTATTAAAATTTATGTCATACCTTCAAGGCCACATCATCCTTATTCATAATTTCATAGAGGGCTTGCTGCGATCGTTCGGTTTCCTCTTGCATTCTACTTTCAATGGCTTGATTGCCTTTGCGTATTTGTTCCAATTTTGTGGTTATGTGTTCATCACAAGCCAGCATTGTTGTTTGGGCCACTTGTTGTGTTGACAAGAAGCTGGAACTGAGTGGTGTCAGAGATTTATTTGAATTTTGATAATATTCCTGTATTTCGTTGGTTAGTTCTTTATTTTTTCCTTTGATTATTTCGGCACGATGTTTTGATTTCTCGTTTTGTAGTCTCTGTGGGAAATCGTATATGGAATTTTAATGAACAGAGAATAAAGTTGCAAATATTAAATTAGACTTACCAAGCTTTCATTATAGCTTCTAAGCCAATTCTTAAATGCCTCCTTATTGTCAAGTGGATTATTAGCCATGTTGGTAATGAGTTTTAGTTAATAAAATAATAGACACAAATCCAGATAAAAGCTATGATGCCAAAGAAAATCAACGGTAAAATAACGAAGACTTCGAATCCTGTGTCGTATTTGTCAAAGTGTTGCCAATTTATTATATTTAAAAATGCGTGCTGGCCACAGTCTAAATTTATGGTCTGTTCCAGTACCTGCAAGAAATTATAATTTTTTATTACGATCCTTTACAATATCGAAGAAAATAGTAAAAATTAGTATATTCTTGAGGTATGAGAACAGACCATTAATTTAACAAAAAGAAGGTATTAACAAATATTTTACATGACTTTTATTCATTCTGAAATTGAATGTTATTGTTTATTTGAAATCCCATTTAGGTTATGAAAGTTTATTAAAATTGATGTTTGTATAAATAAATTATTGCGTAAATTATTTTCAAATAAGAATTTGGTACAGATATGGTGCAAAAAATTTCTACAATAAACACGGTATTACAGATTCTGGAACACAACCAAAGCAATATATTTACTTTCTATTTTCGTTGTTTTTCTCACACGAATTTATTAGCTATAGAATTGTAGATAATGCATTTTCTTATAAAAACTCATTTTGCTTCAAGAATTTGATATGTTACTCAGCCACTTAATCACATATCCTCGCGCTCTCTTTATTCCAAAAGCAATGCTGCCAACTTACTAAAAACATAGAATTAGCAATATGAGTGTCAGTCATTTTGAAACAAACAAATTTAATTAAACATTTTTACTTTTAAATAAATATGAACAAATAAATAAAAGAAACCAAACATCAAATTAGTGAAGGTCTACATCGAAATTGTAAACCAAACGATAACTCAAATATCGATTAGTTGCAAATTCCTAGCGATTCGATTAATCGATTAACATAACCTCGATTTACACATCCCTAACAGAAATTCTGCTTGTCATTAGCTTGTGAGCATAAATTGGCAAAAAATCCGGTCAATTTTTGTTTAGCGAAATAAAGAAAGGAAAAAGCCTGAACGCTTCTAGCGTATTATTGAAAAGAATCAAACTCTACTAACTTTTTTGGAAATAGAAAAAATACAAAACAACAACAAAATGCCTACATCGGAAGTTCTTGTAAACAAGGTGATTGTGCATCCTTTGGTATTGTTGTCTGTCGTGGATCACTTCAATCGTATGGGCAAAATTGGCAATCAAAAGAGAGTTGTTGGTGTCCTCCTTGGCTGTTGGAGAGCCAAGGGTATTTTGGATATATCCAACAGTTTTGCAGGTGAGTTGATGTTTTTTTTGTATTTTTTGCAATATTTGTGAATATTATTGTTTTGTTTGTTGCCAGTGCCCTTCGATGAGGATGACAAAGATAAATCTGTTTGGTTTTTGGATCATGACTATTTGGAGAACATGTATGGCATGTTCAAGAAAGTCAATGCCAAAGAACGTGTTGTGGGCTGGTACCACACTGGTCCAAAATTGCACCAGAACGATATTGCCATCAACGAATTGATACGCCGCTACTGTCCAAATTCCGTCTTGGTGATCATTGATGCCAAACCTAAAGATTTAGGTTTACCCACAGAGGCATACATTGCTGTCGAAGAGGTCCATGATGATGGTTCACCCACATGCAAAACCTTCGAACATGTACCCAGTGAAATTGGTGCTGAGGAGGCGGAAGAGGTGGGTGTGGAGCATTTACTGCGTGACATCAAGGATACCACAGTCGGTAGTTTGTCACAGAAAATCACCAACCAGCTAATGGGTCTACGTGGTCTCAAGGCCCAGTTGAGCGACATCAAAAATTATTTGCAACGTGTTGGCGATGGCAAAATGCCCATCAATTATCAGATTGTATATCAACTGCAAGATATATTCAATCTTCTGCCCGACATTACAAACGACCAATTCACCGAGACCATGTACGTCAAGACCAACGATCAAATGTTAGTCGTCTACTTAGCCTCCATGGTCCGCTCAATTATTGCCCTGCACAATCTGATCAACAACAAACTGGCGAATCGTGATGCTGAAGAGGGCAAGGATAAAAAATCAGAAGATAAGAGCAAAGAGAGCAAGGATAAGGAAAACAAAGAGACCAAGGATAAGAAGGGTGCCTCCGAAGAGAAAACCGACAAGAGCAAGGACGACACAAATACGAAGAGCAGTAAGAAATAGGAGCGAAGAAAAAAGAAAAAGAAGCCTCGACGTAAAAAGAAACGTGACTAAATTGTTTAGAAAAGAACAGAAAACGAGAAAAACAATTTCAGTTGCGTCCATTATTACACCAACAACAACAATACGCTATTCACAATAACAAAATACACAGAAGAATCAATACAGGCTCCTTATTCGCTAAATGTAAAACAACCACAACAACTACAAAAACTGAAAATATTATCATTTAATAATCATCATTAAAATACACTTTTCCAGAATGAGAAAATGAAACCAATAAACATTTTTATTTCTATAAGAAAATCATTTTTTTTCTAGTTATAGTCTCTTGAAAAGATTAAAAAAAAGAAAACAAATATTTACATCAAATGCAAGAAACACCATGCTAATAAAAAAACTAACACTAATTGAAAAAATAAGCTGAAAGTGATTATTTTTGAATGTGATGGAAAATGGCATTACAATTTTACTTCAAGGCCAATTTCATCAGGTATGGAGAAGAATACATGGAAAGAGGGTAAGCATTGGATTTTTATTTCATTATATTGAACTGTTTAGATTTAAAAATTTTATTGCATTTACTTCATTTGCTGCAAGACCGGCATAAATAAAAAATCGATTTTGCAGAACATGACTTATTTTTTTAATTGATTCACACCGAGAAACAAGGGGAACTTCTATAGCATCTCCATCAGATTGTTTTAAATATATTCGTCTTAACTACGTTTTTACTTCTTAATATGTACCTCAAAATTTTTGTGTTAAGTATAAAATTATTGTTATAATTGAAAAATCATCACGACACACCCCTTAACGTTTAGGTGTAATTATGTATAATTAAAGTGTTCGCTCAAATGTCATCGAATATCACCCTCACTGAAATATTAATTGATTTTTTAACGCATCATAAACCGCGTAGAGGAAGTAAAGAAAGAAAATAAGAATGTTATTTATGTGAGAAAGTAAAATGAATGGTGCAAATCAGGTCATATCATTTTGGGAATGGAAATATAACCTAATTAATTTTAATGGAGACCATCAAGAATGTCACCCATGCGTTGTGTATATTGCAACAAAATAAGACAGTCATTGTGTTCGTGTGTTCAAATGAATATGTATTCATGTGCGTATATAAATATTTATTATTTTAAATATAGAATTTCTAAAGATCATTTTTTTTTGTTCCAAAATCATTTTGAAATTTGAATAGTAAATAGGAACTAGAGTGTGTAAAAAAGTGCATCATATACATGCTAATACATATAATTCAATGTTGGTGATTTTTTTTATCTTCTACCTTCAGGTGGAGAATTTATTAAAATTGTCGTTCCGATTGCAACACTTTAAAATATTCGCCCGAGACCTCAAAAATTAAATTCTATGTCGATATAGCCATGTCCATCTATCTCTTGAAATCTTGATAGAGATCACAATATTTAAGATGGGCTTTGAAATATTGCACAATATATTGTTAATACATATACGATTTTTGGTATTGAAAATTGGATTTAACGGCCCACTTTGGCCACAAGTTAGTTGGGCCAAAAATCTTCAAAACTGGAATTTTGCATTTCGGTATTTTAACGTTTTCGAAGCGGTTGTTATTTGACATTTCGGGTTCTTAATAAATATCTTTTTAATAAAGATCCATGTTCGACAAAGCCGCTATATAGATATCTAGATAGTCCTAGGAGCATTCTCCAACCAAAGTGGCTGTAAGATGTGATTACGGGTTCTTGGAGGATCAAATTTTGCACATACATTATTATTACTCTCAGGATGTTTGGTATTGAAAATGGAATATATCGGTCCATGTTTATAATAGACCCCACATAAAGCTACCCCCAAATATTCCGATTTTTGGCACGTTTTTCAATCGAATTGGCTGAAATTTGATATTTTGAGTTCTCATTGGATAGCAAATCTTGCTACCGAAAATGATTAATATTTGTCCACTTTTTAGGATAGCCCCCATATAACGGTAATCCCATAATTCGGTATTTTGGGTGTTTGGGCATGATTTCCATACGGATTAACTCCAATTTGATTTTTTTGGTTATCATTGGATAGAAAATCTCCTTACCAAAAAATATATATATTGCTTCATGTTTCAGGCAAGCTCCCATGGAGCGAACAATGGGAGGTATTTGGCTTTTTCTTTTTTAACCGAATTGGCTGTAATTTGGTACTTAGAATGTGCATTGGGCAGCACATCTCCCTAACAACAAATTTTCGATATATTAAGTTGGGGAAAAAGAAATCCATTATGTTTTCGTCGAAAATATCGATAAAATCGGAGGAATGGTCAACAGAAAAAATAGGATGGATCGAATTTTCATTTTCCAAGCCTTGGCCAAACGGAATAAGATCGGTGTCCGAACCAGTATTAACGGCCAGGAAGGTTCTGCTATGTATTTGGTGGGACCGGAAGGGGATTATTTATTATGGCTTACTTCCATATGGCCAAACGATAAATTTTGATTTCTTTCGGTCAACATCTGGACCGTTTGAATATCGCAATTGATAAGAAATGGTCAGAACTGGCAAACAGGAGAGGTGTCGTGTTTCACCAGGACAACGCTATGTCACACACATCTACATTGACTCGCCAGAAATTTCGGGAGCTTGGTTGGGAAGTTTTAATGTATCCGGCAGACAGTCCGGACATGGCACCATTATCATCTTTTTCTTGCATTGCAAATTTTTTTAATGATAAAAAATTGGTATCTATGGATGATTGTGAAAATCTACTACTAGAGTGTTTGCAAATGGAGAGCAGTACCTCTATGAGGGAGGCATAATGAAGTTACCTTTCAAATGGTAACAAATAATACTGTAAAACGGTGTATATTTGGCCCAAATCGGACATTCCGAAGCATGTTAAATAACGTCCTATAGTTCATATAAAAATAATAGATATTTTTCCACAACCTAATACTTTTTAAGATAGCCCCATATAAAGGAACCGCCAGAATTCAGTATTTTGGGAATATTGAGCACTTCTTTTAAACGGTATTGGCTTTAATTTGGTTATTATTGAGTGTAAGATGTTCCTACCAAAATATAGAGCAATTATAGGTTTTTTACCTGTCATTTCATGGTGAAGGGTATAAAGAGTTCGGTCAGGCCGAACATAACGATGTTTCTACTTCTTAGTATTTTGGCAGTTCCAGACAGTTTCTCACCGATGTGTATTTAATTTGACATTCTGGTTTCTTGGAGGCTGAAAACCATCTTTGCAGTTTTTTATATATGTAGGTATATGTGCATATGTTTGGATCAGACACATGGTTCCTTTTGAGAATATGCATAGAATCACTTTCTGAGACGATTTATGCATGTCCGTCCGTCTGTAGATATTAAATTGCAAATAAAGTGCAGGTTACATTTATGATCCGATTTGAATCAAATTTGGCACAAATCAGTTATTTGGCCCAAGGACGAACCCTATTCAAATTGGAGAAAATCGGCTCAGATTTAGATATAGCTCCCATATATGTTTTCATCCGACTTAAGGTAAATGGGGCACCAATGTCGCTATATATGTGTGCTAAGGTTCGTGAAAATCGGTTAAGATTTAGATATAGCTCCCGTACATAGTTTCGTCCGATTTTATGTAAATGGTGCCCCGAAGTCCCTTTATAACTCTAGATTTGCACGAAATTTAGTATAGTGTACTAAATTGAGTCTAGAATTAAGTGTGTTAAGTTTCGAGAAAATCGGTTCTGATTTTGATATAGTCCCCATATATATTTTCGTCCGACTTAAGTTAAATGGGGCACCAAAATCCCTATATGTCTTTCGATTTGCACGAACTTTGAATTAGGTTGACTTTCTGGATTCTTGGTGAAAAAAATCCTCCCAGACTTTTTTGAAATTGTTTTACAGAGTTCTCAATTTTGACATAATTTCCAGGTCAGGATCCCAAACTATCTCTTGAAATCTTGATAGAGATCACAATATTTAAGATGGGCTTTGAAATATTGCACAATATATTGTTAATACATATACGATTTTTGGTATTGAAAATTGGATTTAACGGCCCACTTTGGCCACAAGTTAGTTGGGCCAAAAATCTTCAAAATACTGGAATTTTGCATTTCGGTATTTTAACGTTTTCGAAGCGGTTGTTATTTGACATTTCGGGTTCTTAATAAATATCTTTTTAATAAAGATCCATGTTCGACAAAGCCGCTATATAGATATCTAGATAGTCCTAGGAGCATTCTCCAACCAAAGTGGCTGTAAGATGTGATTACGGGTTCTTGGAGGATCAAATTTTGCACATACATTATTATTACTCTCAGGATGTTTGGTATTGAAAATGGAATATATCGGTCCATGTTTATAATAGACCCCACATAAAGCTACCCCCAAATATTCCGATTTTTGGCACGTTTTTCAATCGAATTGGCTGAAATTTGATATTTTGAGTTCTCATTGGATAGCAAATCTTGCTACCGAAAATGATTAATATTTGTCCACTTTTTAGGATAGCCCCCATATAACGGTAATCCCATAATTCGGTATTTTGGGTGTTTGGGCATGATTTCCATACGGATTAACTCCAATTTGATTTTTTTGGTTATCATTGGATAGAAAATCTCCTTACCAAAAAATATATATATTGCTTCATGTTTCAGGCAAGCTCCCATGGAGCGAACAATGGGAGGTATTTGGCTTTTTCTTTTTTAACCGAATTGGCTGTAATTTGGTACTTAGAATGTGCATTGGGCAGCACATCTCCCTAACAACAAATTTTCGATATATTAAGTTGGGGAAAAAGAAATCCATTATGTTTTCGTCGAAAATATCGATAAAATCGGAGGAATGGTCAACAGAAAAAATAGGATGGATCGAATTTTCATTTTCCAAGCCTTGGCCAAACGGAATAAGATCGGTGTCCGAACCAGTATTAACGGCCAGGAAGGTTCTGCTATGTATTTGGTGGGACCGGAAGGGGATTATTTATTATGGCTTACTTCCATATGGCCAAACGATAAATTTTGATTTCTTTCGGTCAACATCTGGACCGTTTGAATATCGCAATTGATAAGAAATGGTCAGAACTGGCAAACAGGAG